GGCCCAGGACCCTTTCGACCCCACCCAGGCCCCCGCCCCACCCACCGTCCGAGCAACGCCCACCTGGGTGACCCCCGACGCCGGGTCCACCGCGTCCCAGCAGAGCTGCCGGTGGGCGCCCGGGACTCGGGGTGCTCGCTGCTGGGTCCCCGCGGCCCAGCCGCCGGCACCCAGGGCCTTCCACTGACCTGCGTGTGCGCCTGAGTGAAGCCTCAGGAGGCCCAGCAGCTTTCCCGAAGACCACGGCGCCTTGCTGGCTGCAGACGGGGTCTCCCGCCGCAGCACCTCCGTCCCGAGTCACGGCGGCTCAGAGGGTCCTTCCCGCGCCGCGCGCGCTTCCTGCCCGCTGTCCGTCGGGATGTCCGACCGGCCCTGGGCCCACGGACGGGGTCGGGGTCACATGGCGGCGCCCCCTCTCCTGTCCTGCCCCGGAGCAAACCCTTCCCCAACCCCGAGGAGCGGATCTGGCAGCTGCAGGACCATCTTCCCTGGGCCTGAGCCCGCGGGACGTTAGTCCCGATGGAGGCTGTAGCAGTCTGCGGGTGGGGGGATCCTCGGCCGTGGCGGCCCCGTATGGATCTGGACGTCGGAGTGGGGCCCGTTTGATGAAAACTGCAGCATGCCATCCCCAAAGCCTGCCCCCAGCATGCTCATGAGACCCGCTGTTTCCTTTTTAAAAAAAACTAGCATATATATATAATTTGTTGATTTGAGGGAGAGAGGAAGGGAGAGGAGGAGAGAGAAAGAGAGAGACATCAGTGATGAGCCCCGCCGGGCCTGGCTCAGCGGTTGATCCAGGCGACCAGGGCTTGATCAATGACTCTCTCATCATTGATGTTTCTATCTCTCTCTCTCTCCCTCTCCTTTCCTCTCTCTGAAATCAATAAAGATATATTAAAAAAACAAAACTAAAAAAAGAAAAAGAAACATCAGTGATGAGAGAAACACCCCCAGTACATCGCCCCCTACTGGGGATNTAAAAAAAGAAAAAGAAACATCAGTGATGAGAGAAACACCCCCAGTACATCGCCCCCTACTGGGGATGGAGCCCAAA